ACCTTCTATAATTGAAACTTTGTAGCCTTGAGTGGAGCTCAGAGCCGGCCAGGGCGGGTGGGAAGCTTGCCTTCCTCCAACGCCAGGGGCAAGCCAAGCCTCCTGCTCGCTCCAGCTCTGTGGCCACGGCTGGCTGAAAGCAGGTATCTGGGGTTTATTTATCTTCTATAATTGAAACTTTGTTGCCTTGAGTGGAGCTCAGAGCCGGCTGCGTCAGGCGGGAAGCTTGGCTTCCTCCATCACTGGAGCAACCAAGCCTCCTGCTCGCTCCAACTCCGTGGCTGCCGGCCGCCATCTTGGTTGGGTTAATTTGCATATAGTTGCTTTGATTGGCTGGTGGGTGTGGCTTAGGGTATAGCGAAGGTATGGTCAATTTGCATGTTTGTCTTTTATTAGATTAGACTAGCATAAATATTCACAATCACTTGCTGATGTGTGGTAACAAACACAAGATTTCATAAAGATAGCTTGGTACATTTGGCACTCACAAGACCAAACTAGTTGAGTGGCACTCTGCAGTGAATCTCCAGATATTTCATGAATAGAGAGGTAAATAATTCAATGTCATCCCAAGACTGGGGACCAGGGAATATGAAATCGGTAGGGAAATGGAAGAATTTTCTTAGGAAGATTTGACATTGAATTAAAATTGCTAGAATTTGGCCACCTGACATGTATATATAGGCAATGAATAAATGGTAGTTTTTTGGATGGATGTTTGTAACCGTTTGAATGTGTGTGTAGAGTGAAGACTGCCTATTATGATTACTGTTTTTCCAATTATAGATGGTTTGCCTCAATAACACTATAGGGTAAAAGCAAAGTTATCTACTGTACCTTCTCCAATAAGAAGTGGATCTGGTCCTGTTTTTTCAAAGTTAATAACTACACCACTCTGAACTTTTTGAACTAGAGATTCTAAACACTGATTCAACATTCTTTGTGTTCTAACACAGTAGGAACGACCTATATCAGAAGGAAAAACAAAGAGTACAAGTTTGATCAAATAAAATACTATTTCACAATAGAAGCATTTGACATTCTAAAATATAACCTGAAATAATCATAACTACATTGGCAGCAAACATCACACTATTAATGATCTTAAGCAGCAGAGTTAAAAATATTCTGAAGGAAAACAAGTAAAGACCAGATATGGTATTTAAGAAAAACTATACTCTGCTGCCCTGAATTCTTCCTTTAGAAATAGTAAATATTGCCAGTACCTCCTGTGACTTCACACATCTGTGTGATAGCAGATTCATCAGTTGGTACACTCCCTAGTTGCTCTGGCTCAGTAGAAGCCAATCCAGGCAAACGTAACACCAGGGCAAATAATCTCTGATCCCAACGAAAAGGTTCTTTTGTTAGTTCACTCCCAGGCAGTGGAGAATTCAAAGGAAGATGAAGCTGAGAAGGCAAAATTTGAAAGGTTTCATCATAACAACCCGTACATGAAGAGTTAAAGAATTAGGGGGTCCACTTTTCTTTCATGTACTCAATAAAATAAAGCAATCTTTCAAGGATTACCAAGATAATAAGTTCACTAAACTTATTCTTAACTAGAAATGTATGCCTCCCACAGAAATAGCTGCACGTTCTCTGCCATTTAAGCGAAAATTTAAAAAAATGAAATCTCACCTCTTCTTGAATACCAGCCGTACTTGTTAACTTATTTCCATCTGTGATGGTAATTAAAATAGATGGTTCTAAAAAAAATGGATTTCTCCCCTAAAATACATTTAAAAAGTATTAGAGCCATGTGAAGTAATAAAATTGTATTTAAACTTTTACATTTGCCTTGCCAGTGATCTCCCAAGACTGTGATAAAATTTGCCTGGATAAATAAAAAGGAAAAGATTAGGGACTGAGTGGGTGGGGATGAAAATAACAATCCCTGAAGAGGTGGCATTCAGAATAAACTGAGAAATTCTTATAATTAAGGAACTCCCAAACTATCACATCCAAATACTCCTCTCCCTCTGCTTTCCAAGTAATCATAAAAGAAAGCTATTAAAAAGATTATAATGGCAGCATCATCCACACCATCTGCCTGAGTCAAAATTCTGGCACAGCTAGAGGAACATTAGTGACTTATACTCTGCAACCTGGAAAGTGACTGGTTATTGTGAGCAGAGCTTTTCAAGTAGGAAAGTACAATGATAGCAGCAGTAAATGCTATTATGCCTTCCTCTCATTCTAGAGCTTTTTCATTGAATTGGGAGGGATGAGGGAGTTAAGGAGATTGAAAACCTCTCTTCAGTTGTCTTGCTCCAGTATTTATTTCTCAGCAATTTATTCATCCCATTCTCAGATATCTAATGACCTGACAGGTAGGCAATTTTAACTATTTTATGATCCAGTCATATACCAGACCTCCCCAAAAGAGAATTTTAAAAAAAATGTAATTAAATGTAATTAAAAGATATATGGATCTCTTTTTGGAAGTTATGAAAAATAGCAGAAAATTTGGTAACCATACCCACTCTTAAATTCTTACCCCAAGTCACCAAATTAAATTAGCTGTACTCACTCAAAAATATTTTTACCTGTCCATAATTGTCTATTCCAGATATCAATCTATTGAGATTTAACAAATCAAATGAGGATCTTAGAGCCTGACCAAGAGTCGTCAGTCCAGAAGCCTGAAGATTTTTTAGTTCATTCATGAATGTTGCGTGATTTTCCTTCCAACCAGCCTGAAAACCAAACATTTACAAAGAAATTCCCAATTATACAGTGAATAATATATAAAGTGCAAACAACCACTAAGTAGCAAGCATAAAACCTTTAACAAATTAATAGTTCCTTAATCTGATTCTATTCTCTATCTGGACTGAAAAAGTGGAACTAAGGCAAGTAATCAGTTTCAGAAAAATTTCCCAGCTTTAATGATCAAGAACAAAGATGAAAACAGTACATTGTCCATTGTAGCTGGAGGGCTTTGGCTCAAGAAACCAGTTTTCTATTCCGGCTCAAACAAACCCACCAAAATACCTCAGTATTTACCTTAGTTTGACATTAATGATGAGCATGGAATAAGAATTAATAATAAGGAGTAATTTTTAAATGCATTGTCCTTAAAAGAGAAAATCAGCTATGGGTGTGTGATCTACATGAACTTTTCTAACCAAGATTCTTCCTCCCAAGCAAAAGTAAAGGCAGTGGGGGTAGGAGATTGTTATAGGAATAGAGCCACAATTGTTTGGATACAACTCTTCTGGCATCTTCAAGCATTCAGAAAGCCCCAAATCAAGAATAATGGGAGAAAGAAAAGAAAAATGTTTTGGAAAAGAAGCAGCATCCCCTAGGCACACCACAGCAGAAAAGAACCAAAGACCCAAGGTCAATAGCCAACATGCTATGAGTAAATGGTTGATGCGTCAGCAATGGCTATAAAAACAGAGCAACACAAAATGCCAAGAAGAGAAGCCAAAAGAAGAAGGCAGCTAATATAGGTCACAGGAGTAGGGCAGCAAGGGAGAGAAAAAAACAGCACAGTTTGGCAGCTTGGTGAGACAAAACAGCCACCTGAGTCTTGGTAGCCAAGGGCAGCAGTGATATTAAAAAATACTGAAGTCATGTGACAAGGCCAATACAGTTGGAGATGAAAAGCAAGAACAGATGATACAGCCAGGCCGACATGGCTCAGTGGTTGAGTGTTGAACTATGAACCAGGAGGACACGGTTCGATTACCGGTCAGGTTGCAGACTCAATCCCCAGTGTGGGGCATGCAGGAGGTAGTTGATCAATTATTCTCTCTCATCATTGATGTTTCAATCTCTCTCTCCCTCTCCCTTCCTCTCTCTAAAATCAATAAAAATATATATTTTAAAAAGAACAGGTAATACAGAGATAAATGAAATTATTTAAATTTCATGTTTGGTTAAAAGCATACTGCCCATATCCATACAACTATAGCACATACTATCTTTTCTAGTTTTAGTTTCCTGAAGCAATTTGGATCAGAATGACTGAGAGGTAGAAAGGGAACAGATTACTGACTGCACCTTCTTATGAAGTATCTTCATGACCTTGAGCAAACCTATTGGCTCTTAGAACCTAAATTTCATTATCTTAAAATGATGAGGATGAGATAAGCAGGCACACTATGTAAGACTGTGCATGAGAACCCTGGAGGAGAGTCATTTACCCTGTAATGGTGAATGAAAATGGTGCCCCCTAAGGTTGAACAGTGCACAACCTGCATAACCATACAGGGTAAAAGTGGTCCTAATTAAGATCCATCTCAGTCCATTAGTCTGGGATTCTGTGTAATTAAAAATGTACTTAGTTTTTAAAATATTCCTAACACATTCTGTAGGTAAACGTATCTAAAGGTAAAATCTTCCCATATGTTCTTTTGGCCAGACTGTATATATGGCTTTTAGTACTAAGGGAAAGTAGGACTTGAGAATAATTACCTATGGCCCAAGGAAAATCTTATTGCACTAGACCACCTAAACTTGAGCTAAAAGGAAGGATCATGATTTTAATTGTCCTCATCAAATACCTAGAAATATCAGCAGATGTTTGCAAATCACACCGAATTCAAAAATTAGCTTTCCTCTTTGGGGTAGAAGAGAAAGGTGTAGAGTTGGAAGGGATTGCATCAATTCTTTCCTTTATTTATTCAACAAATGTTTATGGACCAACTATGATATGTTGGGAAGAATGTTATGTGCTAGGGATATAGAGAGTAATTAGCCTTTAGAAGTTCATGCCACAAAGTAATAAGGAATGCAGTTATGGAGTCTGAAAGATCAGAGAGTTAGGGAAGGCTTCTCACAGAACATGGGGCATTTGAGGAAGCCTAATGGCATGAAGGTCATGGGACTCTCCACAATGAAGTGAGGAGTGGAGGAGGCAGGCCAAGGGAAGAGAACAGAGAGTTCATAAGAGGATAAGGACTGCTGGGGAATCACAAGTAATTTGATTATTATTTTTCTGGGTACATGGCAGAAGGCAAGGCTGATAAGTCAGGCTGTGACTATAAGTGCTTTGTACATTGTGCTCAGTAGTTTGGATCTTGTCTTTCAGCCCTGGGAATAACGAGGTTTTTAATTAGGGGAGTGGCATGATCCCTAATTTTAGCAAGTTCATTCTGCTGGGAGTTAGAGAATAAATTGTGGGGTGGAAGGGAGGCTGAAGCTTGAGGCAGGGAAACTGGTTTGAAGATTGTTGCAATAGCTTATTAGAAAAGCGATGAAAACCTGAGTGAGGGCAGTGAGGATAGAGAGGAGGTTGCAGATAAAAGAAATATTTCAAAGGTGGAGTCAAGGATTTAGTATCTAATTAGAGGGATGGGTGAGGAAAAAAGGGTCATACATTAGGTTGAGGTTTCTAGCTTAGGCAAACCTGTAAATGGTGGGGTCCTTCACCCAGAAGCCACTTTATAAAGTTGGCTTTACTTCCCACACTGTAAACTTAAGAGTTATATCTATAACAAGTGTTGAATTCCTATAAGCCACAGATAGTTTAAGTCACAACTACAGAAAAATTAGTGACATACTTGATTTGGTAAAGGGCTGGGATAAGATTTGCATACCACTTAAGCAAGCACCCTATAACTCATCACTATCCTATCCTATATAATAAAAGCCTAATATGCTAAGAGTCCAGTTGATTGGTTGGCTGTTCAACCAATCAAAGCGTAATATGCTAATGACATGCTAAGGTCACTCAACCGCTCGCTATGATGTGCACTGACCACCAGGGGACAGACACTCCAACCTGTATCAACCTCCCACATCTCTCCCTGGCCCTGATCATGCACCAGTGGGGTCCCTTAGCCTGGCCTGCACCCTCTCACAATCCAAGACCCCTTGGGGGATGTCAGAGAGCCTGTTTCAGCCCGATCCTGCAGGCCAGGCTGAGGGACCCCAATGGTGTATGAATTCATGCACCCGGCCTCTAGTTTAAAATAATGTATTCTCTGATTGTGTAGTCTTACTAATCAACCTGTCAAAATAATTGCTCTTGAAAATTGCCCTTATAAAATGGATTGAAAACATTTTACAAATCACTTCTCCCCTTAAATCATTGGTGTTCTGTTTTTAGGTCAATTACAATTCTTTGCAATGAAGTGGATGAATTTGAATGAAATCTGAAAGATTCTCCTACCTCAGTACTACAAGGCATATGGGCTACACTTTATTACCCAAAGCAATAAACATTTTGGTAGCAGTCTGGCTCCTTCAAGAGAAGAACTAATATCTGAATAATGCTTCCCTTATAAAATAAATTGAAAAATATTCCCTCTGCTTCATTTAAAAAAAATGAGCTCTCTGAATTGTTAGGTTTTTGCCATGGATAGTACCATGGGTTTTGTGATTTAGCCAATGAATGGGTGCTATCTTGTCGTTCTGGTAGGTTTGAAATAATAATAGATTAAACATGACATTAACATTTGGCTTTTAAAAATGTTCATAGCTACAAGGGAGCAAAAATTAAAGAAAAAATGTTTTGGCCAACAACAACAACCAAAAAAAGAGAGAGAGAGAGAGAGAGGGAGAGAGGAACTAAGTGGCCCTAAATTCATTCCTCAGAATACTGAAGTTGGGGGGTAGGGGGAAGGCCAAAGATTAATTTAAATATTTAGAGAACCTTATTAATGTGACAAATTTGTTTCAAATAAATCATTATGGCCCTAGCCAGTTTGGCTCAGTGGATAGAGCATTGGCCTGCAGACCGAAGGGTCCTGGGGTCAATTCAGGTCAAGGGCACGTACCTTGGTTGCAGGCTCTTCCCAACCCGGGTTGGGGCTCATGCAGGAGGCAACCAATTGATGCTTTTTTTTCTATCTGTCCCTCTCTCTTCCACGCTCTCTAAAAGTCAATGGAAAAATATCTTCGGGTGAGGATTAAAGAATTAATGAAATAAAAAATATGAAAGTCTTCAAAAAGATCATTATGAAGAGCTAGTGGGAGGAAGTATATGTTTATATTTTTATTTCATTGCTTAAAGTTGTTTTTTCCCCACAAATGAATTGAGGATAGCCCATTTATCTTCTTAATACAGTATTTTTTTAAATTTACTCCAAAGATATCTTATTCTCATGTCAGTAAAACCTTTACTCCTAATAGTAACCTCCCTACATTCTCATGGAGCTTTGCAACTTACAAAGCACTTCCACACTTCAAATTTGCTTGGCACAAACCAATAAAAGAGGCATGGTATTATCATCCCTATTTTGTTTTAACCAGGAAGAAGTAAGATTTAGGTATGTCTTGTTTATGGAGGTGACAGTGGCTACATATGGCTACTGAGCACTTGAAACATGAATAGTCTGAATTGAGATATGATATAAGTGTAAAATACACATGGGATTTTGAGGGCTTGGAACAAAAGAGAATGAAAATATATTTTATTTTTATATTGATTACACATTGAAATGACAATGCTTTAAATATTTTCAGTTAAATAAAATATATTACTATAAGTTTTACCTGTTTCTTTTTTACTTTTTAATGTGCTACTAGAAAATTTTCAATTTTGTGTATGGCTAGTATCATATATCCATTGGCCAGAGATGTTCTAGAACAGTGGTTCTCAACCTGTGGGTCGCGACCCTTTTGGGGGTCAAATGACCCTTTCACAGGGGTTGCCTAAGACCATCGGAAAACACATATATAATTACATATTGTTTTTGTGATTAATCACTATGCTTTAATTATGTTCAATTTGTAACAATGAAAATACATCCTGCATATCAGATATTTACATTACAATTCATAACAGTAGCAAAATTACAGTTATGAAGTAGCAACGAAAATAATTTTATGGTTGGGGGTCACCACAACATGAGGAACTGTATTAAAGGGTCGCGGCATTAGGAAGGTTGAGAACCACTGTTCTAGAGGGACTTGAGGGTCAGTTAGGAAACCTTTGGCAGACAATAGACTCATTACAGATTCCAAGGCAGGGGGAAACAGGATCAAAGCAGCATCTCAGGAAGGTCAGGCTGGCAGGGACATATAAGATAAACTGGAGTAGGAGAAGCTATATCAGGGAAAAGAGGCTAGGAGGCTTAAATAGCAGCAATCCAGGCCAGAGGGAATCAGGGCCTGAATTAGAATGGGAATGAAGAGGAAGAGGCTAACTGAGAAACATTTTAAACAAACAAGATAAGACTCGGTGACAGACAATGAGCCTAAAGGAGAGGGACTAAAAGATGATTACAAAACTTCTAGCCTGGAAAACCTAAAGAATGGAGGTTTAGGACAAAGGAGTAGCCTGGGATGGGTGAAATCCTAAAGTAAGAGGAGTTTATTGTATTCAAGTTTTAAAAGTCTCCCAGAAGTAAAATAATAATGATGATGATGGTGGTGATGAAAAATAATAACCATAGCTAATATTTATTAGTGCCTATGTGTCAGGAATTCATTTGTGCTACACATTGGCATTTTATATGTATCCTTCTCATCTGAGCCTTATAACCACCCCCAACCAAGAAGGTGCTATTACTATTTCCATTTTATAGATGAGCACACTGAGGCTCAGAAAGGATAAGCAACTTGTCCAAGTAAAACAACTAGTAAATGATACAGCCAGGATTTGAACCCAGGTAATCTGAGAGCCCACCAATTTAAACCCCTGTACTAGAGATTCTACTATGTATCCAACATATTCATGTCATAGACATGTCTCCTTATATTAGCTTAAACGTTTGTAACTTTAACAGAATTTCCAAATTTGTTTCATATAAGCCTACTTTTCCTGATGCCTAAATGCAGACCAATTGGGTATGGAAACAGTGGATCAGGACTTGGAAAACCCTAGTCTATTCCTGGCTGTAACTAACTATCAAAGCAAGTAAGTCATTTACTCCTTACCGGGGCTGTTTCTGACCCTCTTCACCCTTATTTCCATCTATGTATTTTTCCGTGTATAAGATGCTATTTTTTCTAAAATCATTAGACTGAAAATAGAGGGGTGTCTTATACAAGGAAGTCAGGGGAGGAGGGACCCGCATGGGTGTGGAGCTGCCCATTACCTTGTCAAACAGGCTTCCTCCAATCACGAGCCTTATTGCTATGGACGTCAGCTGATGCCATAATTGGAGGTGGAGGTGGAGAGTGCACAATGCAACATGGACCAGAGTGTTCTGAGCCCATAAAGATATCAAAAAACAAAAAGATAAATACCGGTAAGCGATTGTCTAACTCTGCAAAATTCAAACTGAATGTAATCAGCTATGCAAAAGAGCATGGAAATAGAGCTGCAGAGTCTTATTTCCATTCTTATTACCAATGAAACTTCTTAATTATTAGCTACCTTTTTTTAAAAATATATTTTATTGATTTTTTACAGAGAGGAAGGGAGAGGGATAGAGAGTTAGAAACATCGATGAGAGAGAAACATCTATCAGGTGCCTCCTGCACACCCCTTACTGGGGATGTGCCCGCAACCAAGGTAACATGCCTTTGACCGGAATCAAACCTGCGACCCTTCAGTCCGCAGGCTGACGCTCTATCCACTGAGCCAAACCAGTTAGGGCTAAAATATTAATTTCTTAATTTTGGGTTGGAAAAGTGCGGAGGAGGTGTCTTATACATGGGGGCGTCTTATATGCGGAAAAATATGGTACTTATCTGAGGGGTGGGTTTGGCAACAGGAAACTGGCATGCTCCCTCTAGGCCTGTTGCTGAAGCTTTTTCTAATTTTCTGGTCTGCTCTCTGACATGGTGCTTAAGGGGTAGGCTCTGTCCCTCCAAAAACCTATAGGGGAGGTCTGTCAATATGTGAACTATTTGAAAGCTTTCGAGAATATATATCTAATCTATATCCTCCAGTCTAGCTTTTAAAAGGAATAAAACTGTTATTTAGAACTCTGGCTGGCTCCTGTGACATATTTCCCCATTGGTTTCAATAAAGGAGGGAAAGGCGGGATTGTCATTTAGTTGGTCCCCCAAACCTCAACATCCCATTACTTGTCCTTCCTGAACTTTATCCCATTTTGGCTAGACCCGTGGTAGGCAAACTGTGGCTAGCGAGCCACATGCGGCTCTTTGGCCCCTTGAGTGTGGCTCTTCCTAAGCCTTAGGAGTACCCTAATTAAGTGAATAACAATGTACCTACCTATATAGTTTAAGTTTAAAAAATTTGGTTCTCAAAAGAAATTTCAATCGTTGTACTGTTGATATTTGGCTCTGTTGACTAATGAGTTTGCCGACCACTGGGCTAGACCATTTCCCTGATTAATTTATTTATATTTCTTTTTATTTTTTTTTAAATAGGAGAACCCTTTCCTCCACTAAAAACTAACTTTCCACTAGAGAAATGCCCCTTTAGAAACTATGTAAATTGGCTGTTTGTAAATCAGAAATTAATCAAATAATTAAAATTCTTTAGGATGATAGCTATTGAAAGAGAATGGCAGTGAATGTTTTCAAAGAGCAAAAATAATCCTTCTATATTATAGATGGTCACAAGCCAGGCTCTCTCCCACAGCAGTGAGAGAACCTCTCACTGCAAGGTACCACTTACTATGTCCCTTTGACTTGGTGCAGAGCCAGTACACTGACCCATTTGGGGCACACACACCCAAAAGTCTTTTTGGACAGTGGTTTCAGTTCAGTCCAAGTCTCCCTAGCTTGTTAGCAAGCCCTGAATAAAAAGCCTTGCTGGAGTCTTAGAGACAATACATGTTGCTCCTTCTGTTTGACCCAAAGGAAATGAAATCAGCCTGATAATATTTGCCCTTTGTTATCCCATACAGAGGGCCATCCTGGACTTAGAGCTCTTCTTCTAGGTGGTTACAAACTAGATGATTAACGGATTTGAGTATTTTCCCAGATGTCACAAGTTAAAGCCAAAGAGTCTAAATTTAGTAGGGCCAGCATTTCTCTAGTTGAAAGATAAACTATTTTTCTTTTTCCATCTGCTCTCTACAGGGTTGGAGGAAATACGTTCTGCAACAACCCAGACAATTTGAAAAATCAACCTCAACAGCATTTTTCAACCAACTTACTTTCTTCTCCAACTTAACACTGTATCATCGTTGTCATCACAGACTGCTCTTTTGTTGGTAAACCAACCAGTGAAACAGAATGAGATGAAAAATAAGAAGCCCTGCTTTTCCAATCAACTCTGTATCCCGAGGAGACAAATAACTTTTCCCTTGGCTTTATATGGAATATCTGTGTGAGTTAAAGCTTTTGAACTTGAAGAATTTCCTTTTCACAATTCAAATGGACCCCAATTCTGATAGATATAAGGCAAGGTTTACTTGTCCCCTTAGATAAACAAAACACTGTGAGAGTTGAATCACTTTAAAATGTTCAAAAGTCTTTTAAAATTGTTTACAGCTAGCACACCTATAAAGGAAGTCTTTAAAATTGTGAAGTGCACATTAGGAAGATGCCATATCATTAAAAGAATGGAATTGTCTTGCTTCTTGTATCTCCTTTTCAAACTCTTTTCTCGAATTATATTTTCTGACCCTACTCGATGTAATTTTTTCTTAATACTCTATTAATTTGGTTTGATTTCACTTTTTTGTGTTTTTCTCACTTGACTCAGGTACTGATACACTCCTAGGTTCAAAAGAGGCATTCTATTATTGTTTTATTCATACTAATATAGCTTTTTCTTATAAAATTAATTGTCTTTAAAAATCTAGTTCTCAAAAAAAAATCTAGTTCTCTTGGATTTCTTTTTTTCAAAATTACTTTCCCAGGGGCAATTTTTAGTGTCCTGAACTTGTGAAAATACTCAAAGTCCATTTTATTTGATTGCATCAAATCTCTCCCTGAAAACTCTTGATTGCTATTATTCTTTGGTTCAATCCACCAATTTTCATGAACATACTTCAGGAAATACTTCCAGTCAAAATTACATAAAATAATTCTAGCTTACTTGAATCTTCTACTTTTAAAAAGTTCTTAAGAAATTTACTCCCTACTATATTGCAAAAACTTATTTGACACTCTGTGGCCTGCAGAATTATTTTTATTCGGCAGATGGTTAAAGACTTTCATGACCACATATTTTAAAATAAACTGGGCAATCTGAAACTAATATAATATTGTATGTCAACTATAATTGAAAAATAAAATCTAAAAAATAAACAGGGCAAATAAAAAATTCACAATTTGATTCTACTAACACTAAGTTCACCATTTTGTGTTACTTGTCTTTTTAAAATACCTAGTATGATTTTTAAGTGGATAAATAATCATAAGGATTAGTCTAAAATATCTGCAAAATGCATTTATGAATTTTCAATTCTTACCACAGGGAATTAGGATAAGATTATGAAATAATACACCTCTCTGAGTCCACTTGAAAGCATGACAAGATCAAAAGAAATTTGATCTTCACCAGAGGATGCTAACATGTAGAAACTGAATTTCAGAAACTATTCTGCTTTCTTCTGGAATCAATTGCACTGTTACTGAAGGAAAAATACCTTAGAGTTGCAAAGAATTTGCCAAACTCGTTCAGATTAAAATGTCAAGTTTCTTCTCTCACTCTCAGACCATTTCAATGGTAGCTACTGATCTATTCTGTTATCAGAAAAAAAATGATATTGTGCAGACCACGTATTGAATTATTATTCAGATTTTGGGGCTCTGATGAGACATTTTTATGAAGACATACACAAAATTAAAATTTTAAAAGGTGATCTTGGAAAAATACAAGATCATTTGGGAGTGACACTAAGCCACTCAAACACTGCAGAAAGAGCTAAACAGAAGAAATAGCAGAAAGGCCACTCATTACTTTCTAAAGATTAGATAGCATCTCTTTCCTCCTAATTTTTAAAAATAATTCTCAAAAAAGTTTATGGACTGTTTTTTATATCAGCATCATTGTTAAAAATCCCAACTGATATACAAGGCTAGTCCACCTCTTCACAAAACTCTCAGTTCTACCTTTCAGAGGTAATCATTGCCAGACTCTGTCCTGAATATTAAACTGTTAGCAGCAAAAATAAAGAACACCAATAAGATGAAGTGACATTTACTGATTTAACCAGTGTGAGATACAGTACATTAAGCATGTAGGAACTGTTTTCTAAAATTTAAAGCAATTTTGAAATCACCCGAAATTCCAATGCCTCAATTATTCAACTTCCTGCCTTTCAGTTATACAATTCTCTCTAGTACAGTGGTTCTCAATCTTCCTAATGCCGCGACCCTTTAATACAGTTCCTCATGTTGTGGTGACCCCCAACCATAAAATTATTTTCGATGCTACTTCATAACTGTAATTTTGCTACTGTTATGAATCGTAATGTAAATATCTGATATGCAGGATGTATTTTCATTGTTACAAATTGAACATAATTAAAGCATAGTGATTAATCACAAAACAATATGTAATTATATATGTGTTTTCCGATGGTCTTAGGCAACCCCTGTGAAAGGGTCATTTGACCCCCAAAGGGGTCTTGACCCACAGGTTGAGAACCGCTGCTCTAGTACATTTTTGGAAGGAAGTGTTAGTAATCTAGTCCAATCCCTTCATTTCACAGATAAGAAAACTGTCATGTAAAATAAGGTGAAGTGAATTGCTCTGGGTCATGTATCTATCTAATCAGTAGCAGATTGTGGCCAAAAACCTTGGTCTCTTGCCTCAAAAGCCCAAGCACTCTTTACAGAGTTGCTAAAGCAATAGAACTTGTCAGATTTACATGAGAATGGATGGTTTGATCTACCAGATAGGCTGTACTATGATCACTTTTTAAAAATCTGATTTTTCTAAAAAATACCAAGACTTAAACAGAACTTCTAACATACAGTTCAGAAGCATCACTGTGAAATGGAGTTTACAATGTCTATACACATATGTAATCTTTAAGAAAAAATGGATAAATGGTAATGGAACGAAACTTGACTTGGGGTAGTAAACACACACTATTAAGAAAAAAGAAAAGAAAAAAGAAAAATGGCCCTGGCCGGTGTTGCAAGGAGTTAGAGTAAGCATGTCAAACTTGTGGATCATGGGCCGCATGCGGCCCACAATGAATATTTTTGCAGTCCAGCCAATATAACGGTATGTAAGAAACATTTTAATAAAAATTTTGGAACTCAATTTTTACAATATCCTGTTATACATAATTATTAATAATGAACTACAACGTTCGCTAATGACTGATCACTATAATTGTGTTGCATTAATTTCCCTTACACACCTTACGCACAGCTGCACCATTTCTCTCCACTAATACTAGGAGTGAATATTTTAGTGGCCAATTGCCACGTTATTAGTCTTGGACTGACTTGTTTGGTGTGCGCAGCAGGAAATATTTTGCTTTTGGAGAACAAGAAAAATAGGTTTATTTGCATTACACTTATTGCTTTATGTAGTTATTCAGTGTCTGGTAAGTTAATGTTCAAGAAAAATATTAATTTTTATTAAAATGTTCTATTATTTTATGTTAATGATTACTCATTTATGTCAGCTCTTTGTATTCAGCAGGTCTCTATGGAAATTAACCTATGTTTCTATGAAAATTGAAGCTTTTGTTTTTTTGTGGCTCACATAAACTTAAACCTTGTTTATTTGGCCTGTGTTAGCCTTTGAGTTTGACATGCTTGGGTGAGAGCTTCAGTCTGAGCACTGAAGGGTGGGGCAGGGGAGGGGAGCAGTTTGATTCTCATCAAGGGCTAGTACCTGGGTTGCAGTTCTCTCCCTGCTCCCCCTCCCCCACACCCCACTGGGGTAAGTGCAGAAGGCAACCAGTCCATGTGTCTCTCTCACATCTATGTTTCTCTCTTTCTCCCCCTCCCTCCCACTCTCTCTGAAAAGCAATGGAAAATATATCCTCAAAAAAAAAAAGAAAAAAGAAAAAAGAAAAAATATCCTCAGGTGAGGATTAAAAAGAAAAATGGAGAGCTTTGTTCCTCATATCTTTAACATTCTCCTACAACAGTGGTTCTCAACCTTCCTAATGCCGCGATGTTGTGGTGATGCCCAACCACAAAATTATTTTCATTGCCACTTCATAACTGTAATTTTGCTACTGTTATGAATCATAATATAAATATCTGATATGCAGGATGTATTTAGGCGACCCCTGTGAAAGGGTTGTTCGACCCCCAAAGGGGTCGCGACCCACAGGTTGAGAACCACTGTCCTACAAGAAATAAAAAAGAGGGACTCCTACCAAAACGAAACAAAAAAGCAAGAGGGACTCCCAACTTTCTAATGCCATGTCTGTATTAAAGCCTAGATATTCTCCCTAGAATCCTATTACTACTGTCTAGTTATGTGGGTTTCCTTCTGCAGAGACAATGCAAAGAGAGATTGGGGCTTCTGATTAAACAGCAGTGCCTCCAGGCAACTTCAGGCCAATGTAAATCAAAATGTCTTGGTCTAGTTCCGGCTAATCAACTGCTAAAGGTCATAACCAGCTCCCTTCCTCTTCCTTTAGCAACTCCTAATCATTAAAATAGCATCTCCCCCTCAAGTCACACCCTTAATGGAATGCTTTCAGTTTGCAAGTTCTCCTCCCCCAGGCCTCCAGCTCTCCTGGCTTTGTATTTTCTCTTCCTTTTATTAATTGATGTTCTAAAGGCTGGCATCAGGAATGAAGAGACAAATTCACAGGGTGGGAAAGACAGGTTTGGCTGAATCACAGGGATTCTTTGAGAAAATGATGGGAAATAAGTTTATATAGACACTAGAGGCCCAGTGTATGAAATTCGTGCATAGGTGCGGTCCTTAGGCTTGACTGGTGATCAAAGCTAGAGCGTCTGGTGTGGAAGGGCAGGTCCCAGCTGACTTCTGGGCCCTGGGCAGCACCTGGGCCCCCAGGCGCACCCCCTTCCGCCTGAGTCATTGGGCCCCCGCCCGGATCCCTAGTGCCTGGGAGCTGGGTGGCGGCCCTGCCCCCCGCTACC